CGCTTTTTTCTCCACAATATTCTATCACGTGGATGTATTATACGGCGCATTGCAGTCAAGGCTAATGGATGGAGCGTCTGTGCAGTCGTGTATTTCAGACTTCTGCGATGCTGTATCTCGTATCCGGGAAACAATAAAATACGACGACACATGGAGTGCTTCTTTACGCCGCGGGCAAACAACGCAGCGTTTGATTTTGTCTGCAAAGGAATGCTGTGACATTCTGGTGAATCAAATAGGCGATCGTCTGCGCACTGAACACCTTGCCGCGTCTCTTTGATGAACCCCAAAAAATTTTCAAAAATTGCACGTCAATTTCCCATCCATTTGTTGGCTACTGTCTCCAAATTTTACCCCATGATAAACGTGGGTAAATTGGAAAATGAATTGCGATGTATATACACCAATCAAACTTTTCTGAACATCACATCAACTTGCGCGCTCTATGGGTTCCTCATAGATAACACTCTAGTAACTACCTTTGCGGCGTCTGCAAAATTTCTGGACATCATTTTGACGACGCCCATTTCTTCCGCCGACGCATAGCGAACATTCAGCACGCTGAAGCGTATTAAAACGTATCTCAGAAACACAATGAAGCAAGATAGATTAAATTCCTTGGCTGTTTTATTCATTCACAGAGACGTTATTTCTGGGATGCATGACTTTAATCAGCGCGTTATTGAGCATTTTGCTTCCAAGAAACCGCGGCGTGTTGCATATATGTTCAAGCAGTAGAAGTCTAGCAGCATATATATCTATGAGTGAGCGACGCATGTCCTTATCTTTGCATAACTTTCCTTTCTTCATAGTAACGTTTTAACCTTATTTTAGGTTTTGTCTGCTTTCCCGAAGTTTCTGTTAATATGTCATTGTATTTATCTAGGTAAATATTGCCTTTCCTTTTGAAAGAGGTTTCAAAATAAACTATGTCTATATTTATTAATCCCTTGACTTAGACCGGTTTTAAAGACACCCTCTTATCGTTAAAAATTGTCGCTTTTGCCGATTGGTTGTTACCGATGGAATGGTTTTTATACTCATAAAATGATGGGAGAACTTACAGCGCTCATCCTGTCCCCGTAGATGGGGGTGACTTGGTCCCGCAGTAGCTTGCCCCGGTTGTCAAAATGACCACGCGCCGCCACTGGATTGCATATATACAGCAGTCAACTTAATTTGAGAGGGGAGCTCGTAGACAATTTTTTGAGGTGGCTTGAAGATAATTAACAATAAAAATATTCGTTAGAATTGATCTTGCCCGCCCTATTTTGAATATTTACCTTGAATATTCACATTATTTACTTTCCGTCCGCGCATTTTCAACGTATTTTTTGAATAAAACATACTTTATACTACATTATTTATACATTACTATCTGTTATTTGTATCTTATTGTGAGCTAGTTATCTTTGAGGTGGGGCGCGAGACTTGCTAAATTATAGAAATGGATCGCGGCTTAAAAAGTTTGAGATCCACTGGATTAGATTTGTTCGTTTGTATTTATGCCTCAAAGATTCAACATTCAAGTTTTTTTGATTAAGTTTAAATTATTTAAGAGGCTTGAATTTATGAAAATACCGCCGCGGGATGATCACTCTTCGACGCACAGCGCATACTGTTTCTTTTGATGTCTTTCGTGATTCACAAGCTTTTGTTTCATCAATTTTCAAATTCTAGTCTAAAGGTGTCCCTGAATGTTTTAACACAAAGTTGACAAACCTAAGTATAGAGCATATTATATATACGCTTTGGTATAGGGTTGCCATACCATGGTTAACCATGGCCATACCGTCCGGAAAATTCGGACATGTCCGGAATTTAGGGTTAAATTTGGCGTTCCGAAATAATTTCAAAAAATGCCCGAATTTCGGGAATCCAGAATTTTGTTGCATCTGCAATCGTACCGGTACTGTGCACACTGCTAATACTACGAGGTTGTGTGGTATTATGATGTAACCAACGACTAGGATGTAACAGAGCGTTTTCCTTATCAATGATGTTTACCACTTAGAATTTTTTGATTATTATTCGCTGACTCTTGAATCAGTTAGTCTGGTGGTAAATTACTTTGTTTTTTAGAGTATGCAATTTTAGTTGGGTTGTATTTATCGTTAATAAAAAAAGATATTATTTCAAATGGCTAATTCCAAACGAAAGTACACATTCACTAACGAGATGCAAGAAAAACATTCATGTTTTAGAAAAGACAGGAAGGAGAATGCTTGGTATGCAAATCGGGAACCTATATATCTGTCGTGCACAATGGTATTGGTGATTTAAGCACACATTTGTAATCGGAAAAACATCGCAAAGCAGCAAGAGGGGCTGTTGCATCAACGAAAATGACAAATTATATTGTTACAGCAGGAAGCAAATGCGGAGATGAAATCACTGCCGCAGAACAGTGGCGTAGCCAGCCCAAAATTTTGGGGGGGGGGGGGCTAAATTTGAAAATTTTAGAAATTATATTGGGTTTAAAACACCCGTTCTTCAAGTGCAAAACAACAACAGTTGGTCAACAAGCAAACTGATTCAATTACTCAGCTGGATTTTTGTGAATACAAAATCCATTAATAAACAATTTTTTATTTGAAACAACAAATATTAGCAACGCAATTTGAATAAGTAAAATACATCGCCCCGATTAAAAGTCCATCCTTCGCTTCCCGCCAACTATGCTCGACACAACTCGATTAATTTTCTCCTCGGTGACCATTACACGGTGACAGTGAAGCACAGACAAATCAGAAAGGCGATTGGACGTCATTGATGAGCGCAGCCATGTGTTTACCCGTTTCATGCATGAGAAAGACCGCTCAGCCTCAACGGTGGTTACTGGTAGCGTCATAACAATCTGTATTGCGGTGTACACGCTTAGATAATCTCAAGCGCTCAGAAGAAGCCCCTCCAAACATTCGTCGTTAACGTCGGAACCCAAAGAAGTTATCCACAGTCTCACTTCATTCTGGAGGTTATCCAATAAATACAGACGCTCTACCTCATCCACGTGAGTAGTAGTATAGGTCGTATTCGATACCCAAATAATGTTGCACATGCTGAGCAAATGTTGATCAATGATGCAAATGTTGAGCAATACCCAAATAATGTTGCACATGTTGAGCAAATGTTGATCAATGATGCAAATGTTGAGCAATACCCAAATAATGTTGCACATGTTGAGCAAATGTTGATCAATGATGCAAATGTTGAGCAATACCCAAATAATGTTGCACATGTTGAGCAAATGTTGATCAATGATGCAAATGTTGAGCAATACCCAAATAATGTTGCACATGTTGAGCAAATGTTGATCAATGATGCAAATGTTGAGCAATACCCAAATAATGTTGCACATGTTGAGCAAATGTTGATCAATGATGCAAATGTTGAGCAATACCCAAATAATGTTGCACATGTTGAGCAAATGTTGATCAATGATGCAAATGTTGAGCAATGGTGGTACGTAGGAAGTTGTTATGTAATATTGTTTCCGGTATCAGGGGATAGCGTTTGGTAATTTTCGAAAACCATATCGGCAACCGTGTGTTAGTCATTAAGTTTATGGTTTGTCGTATGTTTACATGCACCTATGGAATTTTTTTGTTTTTGTTTACGTACATTTGAACTCATGTGTTGTTTTTGATAATTTGTGAATGCAATCAGCATTTCAAGTACATGTACCCACACTACTTGCATTTTGAAATTTGGATTTCATCAATATTACGTAAGTCGATACGTATATGTGAGTATTATACGTCAGCGAAACATCACTCTATTCCTCATAGCAATGCTCGTATTAGAAGTGAATAAGATATGATTTATTTGATTAGCTTTTATCATTGGCAGCTTTCGTTTATGTTCTTTAGCTTCCCAAATGTGTTAGTCATTAAATTTATGGTATATTTTGTATGTGTTTATATATTAGAGTATTGAGCAATATATATGAGGGTTTAAATCTTCTTTTTTGAGCCGAGTGATGCAGAGTGGTAATTTATTTCGTGTTTAGGAAATCATGCAATGTCGTAGTTAAGTTTTGTGCATCTGTTGATTGGAAACAACCATGAGGATGTACTGACTTTAGTAGAAAATTGACAACTGAGTTGACATAATTAAATTCAAAAAACGTATGTTTACTGACCGACGTATGTTAAAATAATTGAAAAACGATTGTTATTGGAGGTTTAGCGAGAAATAAAATGCAACAGGCTGGCATCGGTTTGAAAAAAAAAATTACAATATAAAACAGCTGACAAAAAAAAAGGTCGTGTTTTCCGGTCTAGTCGTTTGATTTTTTTTTTTTTTACAGTTGTTTATTTTTTTTTTCCATTACTCTTTTATTTTCGGTTTATTTTTGATCTTGAAAATTTTATTTTTGTTAAACTTTTTTTTTTTTTTTTTTTTAATTTTACAAGAAATCGATAGTTCGACATATTATTTACCACAGAGATTCTTTTTCACAGACTTTACTGTTGTTTTTGATAATTTGCGAATGCAATCAGCATTTCGAGTACATGTACCCACACTACTTGCATTTTGAAATTTGGATTTCATCAATATCACGTAAGTCAGTACGTATATGTGAGTATTATACGTCAGCGAAACATGACTGTATTCCTCTTATCAATGCTCGCAAGTAGATTGTTCTTCCTTGTATTAGAAGTGAATAAGATATGATTTATTTGATTAGCTTTTATCATTGACAGCTTTCGTTTATGTTTTTTAGCTTCCCAAATAGGCAACCCTAGTGATTGTCCTACATTCCCCAGATGTGATGCCAGACTTCAATACCTAACTTCGGTAAAATTGTCTTTGAATATTCAGAAAATGGTATATTTATCAGTGTAGAGTATATGGTCTGTCATATACATACCACATTTTTATAAGTTGCAAATAGTTTCATCGCTATTGGCAAAATATTTACCACCCTCTAAATTTCGAAACACAACCCCCCCAATAATGAAAATATATATATATCAATGGATCATGGTAGCCAGAATAATGATATCATAATGGATGGGAAGCAGATAATAATATTTAACAAAGGTTACCAAAGTAAACAAGATCCGAAAATGATATAAATATATTAGTACAATGTCATATCACCGTAGAAGTTTTTTGTTGATAATTTCCCATACCATGGCTCGCCGAAAGTAAGGCATATCTCGCTGGGAAAATGTTAAGTCTGATTTTAGAAGTAATATACTCTGCAAATTTGCAAGCAAAGACTCCACAATCTGATCCATTCATTTGTTGCGGTATATCAGACATTGACAACAGTTGCCAGTCAGAAAGATTGATCTCTGATCCTTTTTTATCCTTGTGCTCACAAAGAAGATAATTTTTTAGGATTTCAAGGCATTCCCGATTGGCTCCACCCATTGAATCATAATATCTTATTTGTTTCGATATGAAATCAACGACAGCTAGACACCAATGCACGCCAAGATGTATTGGATACAGAACGATGTCTTTGGAAAATATATCAACTTTTTTTGTCCACCGACGTACTGATGTATAAGATTGTGTACTCAATCGAGGATAAAAGAATGTATTCATGGAATGTACTGCGGGGTAATATTTTACATCTTTAGAGCGCTGAACAATCAATTCCATATAAAAATTTATAATTTCATCATTAAGCCAATTTAGACCGAACAAAGTCGACATGTGCTCGCGGGTTATTGAAATGTTGAAACACTCAGAAAGACTTGATTTGGAGGATATGGAACTAGTGCTTTGTTTATGTGTTCGCTCATGTCGGAAGTCAGCTCAGGAAGTGTGGGTTGTTCGATAATCTTTTTTTCTTGGAGTTTTAATTTGTTGTGTAAAATTTCAGCCAGAAGTGCATCTTTCTCTTTACGTTTCTCGTGTCAAAGTCGGGCTCGTGTTTCTTCAGCACGTGTTTGAGCTTGCCTCTGACGAACTCGACGATTGTATGTTTTTAACATGTCAGGAACGAAAATTTTGTGACAAATATGGAGAAGAAAACTCTTTCAAATCTGGCTTCTCTTTATACTATCATTGAGAGTGGTTTCTGTTTGACTTTTGGCACCCCGAAGGACTAAGTTGTATATTACTTATCGCTTTGTGTAAAAACTTTCACTTGAATCGTTTTTTATTTTAATTTTTAAATTTCACGTCATTGGACGCGAAATGGACGTGTCCTTTGTCCTGTCCGATATCCATTTTGTTATTGGTGCTATTGTTGTAGTTGGAATTCTTCTTTTTGTTGTGAAAAAAAAAAAAAATCGCGTTTCTCATTAACTACAAGACCAATTGCTTTTGCTTTGATTAGTTTCAAAGACTTGTGTGGTCTTTATGGAATTATTCATTCCAAAATTTTTAAACTCTTAACTATATGCACATATATACTTGAGTTTTTACACCCAACTTCATCTTGCAGTCAAGCGAAAAATTACAGCTTATAATTAGAGAAAAATAAATTAGTTTTTAAAAATTTTTTGATAAACAAAACACACTTCTCTCATTTTTAACATCCATAATTCAGTATTCATCAAAAAATAAACGAAGAATCTAATTATATTGCAAAACTTCCAACGCCAGAAGGACCAAATAATATATACTTATGAGAAATGCTTCGCGTCAGCATCTTTGTTTTGAAATTGTTTTTTATTTCAATTTTGGGAACTTCATTTTAATTGGACACGATATGTACCTATAATTGCTTTTTTTTCATGTTATTGTTACGTTATTGTTGGTGTAATTTCACTTTTTGTCGTTTTCTCTTATCTATGGAACCAATTGCTTGAATTTTGCAGTGGTTAAAGATTGTTGTACTCTAATTAATTTAAAAAAACTGTTGTGGGCTATATGGAATTTATTTTTCATTTCAAAATTTAAAAAAAATGCGTCAGTCTGCCGATACTGTACGATTATGATGCTATTTCATTTTAGCTTTTCGTGTCATATATTGAAGCATTGATTTTTTGTTTTTATAAGAAGCAAGCAAGGCCATGCGCACCCAACTCAGGAGTAAAGGAGACTGACCTCGATACATTGTACGAGTTAAAAATAAAATCTCCGGCAAATGTTGTTCATATGTCATAAAAAAAAAACTTGAGCACATTGATTATTCGACAAAATCGAATTTAATGAACAACCCCAGCAAAATCAGAACCAATATATCCTAGAAAAATTTTCTGTCAGGGTTTTTTGACGTTGGCAAGATATAGAGATTTGAATTATACGTTTTTTTTTTAACTAAAAATCGCGGCATTGGGGCCTTTCAGCAAATCTTACGATGGAAATTTTGGACTTTGCAGGAATATTACGGAATCTGCAACCGTAGAGTGTTCTATTCACTGTAAACATCACAAAGATAGAAACTATTACTCATCAAATAAACTGTCGTAAGTTCAATTATTATTCGTTTTCATAACGTTTTCTGTGTAACGTAACTAATCAGTAGAGTTAAATCCACATCTTGCAATCAAACTTGATTCTAAAAATAAAAAAATATGATTTGTCTCAGTATTATTCCGTAGATGCAAATGTATTGGTGTACTTGCCTTCTGATTCTACTTATTTGGGGATTGCACTCATACAGCATTCCACTTTTAGATGTATATATTCGCTTTTTAACAACTTTGAAGTCAAAGAGATTACAAAAAATTAGTCTAAGGTGGACGCACTAACTGTATGCAAAAAAAAAATTATTTTTTAACAGGCACAAGTTCGATATGGTATCACAAGAAGACTTGGAATATTTTTTCTGTCTGGAACGATTATGGAAAAAACGCCAAAATGATAAATCCGCTGATAAGAACACACTTCGGATTGAAAGTGCGGCTACAGGTAAAGTTTTCGTCGGATAGGATACGGTTCGAACGAAAAACTTTTACTTACCCTTAACTGGGTATTTTTTACGCAGGAACGTAGCAAAGGTTGAAATGTGTAATATAAGCTAGTGATTAAAGAGAATTGGTTATTGCACATATACTAAAACAAAAAAACACTCACTGATCCTGTTGATTGCACCTCGGACGTAATTTTGGTATGCGTACCTAATTCTGTACTTGAATGCACTGGAAAATGGAACCGTTTCAGACCAATGTACAGTTGTGCTTCGCTGATTGAAATTATGAGATGATTTTAATAATATATCTGTCTTAAGGCTACCATAATAACAGAAACAAGAGAGCAATTCCCAAATATATGTACACGTTAACCAGAGCGAAGCAATGCTTACCTTTGACGCTACCAGGTACCCTCCAACAATTTCCGAGTTACTCGTAGCAAGAATTTACAGTATCTAACTGGACAGCCAGAGTTCCCATGTATAAAATAATACAGCGAAATTTGGACGAAATATCAGACTTTCATACGAAATTTAGACATAAAGAAAAGTAATAGCCTTCTGGCAAAAAATCAATCTTTACCCACTGAAAATTTTAAAGCCATTGTCCAAGTATTCGAAGAGAGAAGCTATTTTAATGATACATGATGACGACATAACAAGAACAACAACAACATAATATCGAAACAATCGCTATGTCCATTAGCGTGTCCAAAAACAAAGACATTGTAAGAAAGGTAAGGTTTGTTTTTTCGTCCGGGTGTCAACGGATCGTGAAAGTACTACATAGAGTTACTCGTGGCGTCAAATTTAATACCCATTCGAAAACCAATGTTCTTTTCCTTAGCTACTGGACTAAACGCTTTCGAAATATCAGATGTTGAATATAGTGTCATCCTCTAAAAAAATTCACTTTCCTTTTTACATAAATCATCAGGACTTCCCGTGCTCATTGTAACACCACATATTGTTTTAAGTTGAACTACGGCGTGGTTTTTCCGATGAGCCAATTTTCCGAGCAAGTATTAAAAATAGAACAATATAACAGAGTTGAACGATGATTTAGCAAAACTTTCCACAGGTTTATTCATGTTCAATAGGCTACTGAGATGACAACGTTCATTTAGTTACAATAGCTCACTTTCATTGCATTAAATGTTTCGTTTTATCATCTGAAAGAGAGACCGCTTTCTTTGCGCAGGCATCGTTATAAATATCAACTTTTTTACGGTATTCAAAACTTCGTGAAGAGCCTGAGAACCAAAAATAAAATGGCAAGTTGGTATCAAAATTACCTTGACAACGAACGTTCATTATGATTATTATAATATAAAATTAATGATATCGTGGTAAGGACATTTTCTAAAGTCTAAACTATACATTGTCAGTAATCATAATTACATACCAATCAGTTCTTATTGGTGACAGCACATTTGAACCCACGTACATTTGCACCCGTACATTTGCACCCACCGACATTTGCATCCCGGACATTGAACCCCCGTACATTTGAATTGCACCCACCGACATTTGCATCCCGGACATTTGAACCCCCGTACATTTGAATTGCACCCACCGACATTTGCATCCCGGACATTTGCACCCCGGACATTTGCACCCCGGACAATTGCACCTACATACTATTGCACCTATGGAATTTTTTTGTTTTTGTTTACGGATATTTGAACCCATACTAACCCTAACCCATGGGATATACACATGAGTTCAAATGTACGTGGGTTCAAATGTCCGGGATGCAATTGTCCGGGGTGCAAATGTCCGGGATGCAAATGTCGGTGGGTGCAATTCAAATGTACGGGGGTTCAAATGTCCGGGATGCAAATGTCGGTGGGTGCAAATGTACGGGTGCAAATGTACGTGGGTTCAAATGTGCTGTCACCAATAAGAACTGATTGGTATGTAATTATGATTACTGACAATGTATAGTTTAGACTTTAGAAAATGTCCTTACCACGATATCATTAATTTTATATTATAATAATCATAATGAACGTTCGTTGTCAAGGTAATTTTGATACCAACTTGCCATTTTATTTTTGGTTCTCAGGCTCTTCACGAAGTTTTGAATACCGTAAAAAAGTTGATATTTATAACGATGCCTGGCGCAAAGAAAGCGGTCTCTCTTTCAGATGATAAAACGAAACATTTAATGCAATATGCAATGAAAGTGAGCTATTGTAACTAAATGAACGTTGTCATCTCAGTAGCCTATTGAACATGAATAAACCTGTGGAAAGTTTTTGCTAAATCATCGTTCAACTCTGTTATATTGTTCTATTTTTAATACTTGCTCGGAAAATTGGCTCATCGGAAAAAACCACGCCGTAGTTCAACTAAAACAATATGTGGGGTTACAATGAGCACGGGAAGTCCTGATGATTTATTTTAAAAGGAAAGTGAATTTTTTTAGAGGATGACACTATATTCAACATCTGATATTTCGAAAGCGTTTAGTCCAGTAGCTAAGAAAAAGAACATTGGTTTTCGAATGGGTATTAATTTGACGCCACGAGTAACTCGATGTAGTACTTTCACGATCCGTTGACACCGGACGAAAAAACAAACCTTACCTTTCTTACAATGTCTTTGTTTTTGGACACGCTAATGGACATAGGCGATTGTTTCGATATTATGTGTTGTTGTTCTTGTTATTCGTCATCATTATCATTAAAAATAGCTTCTCTCTTCGAATACTTGGACAATGGCTTTAAAATTTTCAGTGGGTAAAGATTGATTTTTTGCCAGAAGGCTATTACTTTTCTTTATGTCTAAATTTCGTATGAAGTCTGATATTTCGTCCAAAATTTCGCTGTATTATTTTATACATGGGAACTCTGGCTGTCCAGTTAGATACTGTAAATGTCTTGCTACGAGTAACTCGGAAATTGTTGGAGGGTACCGGTAGCGTCAAAGGTAAGCATTGCTTCGCTCTGGTTAACGTGTACATATATTTGGGAATTGCTCTCTTGTTTCTGTTATTATGGTAGCCTTAAGACAGATATATTATTAAAATCATCTCAATAATTTCAATCAGCGAAGCACAACTGTACATTGGTCTGAAACGGTTCCATTTTCCAGTGCATTCAAGTACAGAATTAGGTACGCATTACCAAAATTACGTCCGAGGTGCAATCAACAGGATCAAGTGAGTGTTTTTTGTTTTAGTATATGTGCAATAACAATTCTCTTTAATCACAGCTTAATATTACACATTTTCAACTTTGCTACGTTCCTGCGTAAAAATACCAGTAAGGGTAAGTTAAAAGTTTTCGTTCGACCGTATCCTATCCGAGAAAACTTTACCGGTAGCGCACTTTCAATCCGAAGTGTGTTCTTATCAGCGATTTATCATTTTGCGTTTTTCATAATCGTTCCAGACAAAAAAATATTCAAGTCTTCTTGTGATACCATATCAACTTGTGCCTTTAAAAAATAATTTTTTTTTTGCATACAGTTAGTGGTCACTTAGGACTAATTTTGGACTAAAAAAGTGGAATGCTGTATTGAGTGCAATCCCCAAAATAAGTAGATTCAGAAGCAAGTACACCAAATACATTTG